GTTTGTAGGCTAAGGATCCTCAGGACTTGCATGATAGAATTGTCTGATGTATGATGCCTAATAGCCTAGGAGAATTTCCTTTATGTTAGATGGAATTGACATAATTATTGTAGTTTCTTAGTGTGTGCATCATAGTTGTACATAACTAAGATTTTATAGCTTGAGAATGTTTGATTTAGCTTTAGTTTCTATTCCTCGTATGGTTGTGGGCTTAGTATAGAATCAAGTATTTGACTGTCTATAGAATCCAACGTTATGTATGATTAGCATGCACGAGTGGTTGCAGGGTTGGTGGAAGTTCCATGAGTGAGTTCAGTTTATAGCAGGCCAACATGAGGAATGATTAGCCACTCTTGAGAGAGTAGATACAGGACGTATGTTTATCCTTGATGCTTGGGTCTAGTGGTCTGAAATTTTCATGTAAGGAACTGCCTGATTTTATGGTGTCTTAGTGTCAGACGGTTTCACTACTCGAATGATGCTTGCTTTGTGCTTTGTGGGACTTATATTGATGTGAGTTAACTATTAAATGAATATGTTAAGTTACATGCTGCAAAGGTTAAATAGTTTTAGAATGATTGATCCGGCCCTATTGTGCAGCTCTCGTTTGAGTCTAACCGTTGTATGGTTGGGTCTTTTAGTCGAAAGATTATTTAAGTTTTGTTACATGTAATTGCATTCATAAAGTGGTTAGCTGACATTAATAGGAGGTTTTCAGCAGCTGATGGCAGGGTGAGGTGGAAGTATGGATAGGTGTGAAAGTTAGTATTGGGCCCATACTACTGGAAGTACATGATCTATACTCGAATCGAAGGAAATCACGAGGATTCTAAGGAGCCGGTTAAGGGTAGATAACATGGTTTGATAACCATGATTCGTTGCAGTGTTTCCGTATATGTCGATGTTTTGGTTTGGATATTCAGGTTGAGGATGGGTCTAGTGATTGTTTGGGCCTTAGTGTTCATGTCAGGTTGGGTTTGAATGCTGTAGACCTAGGTGAGTTAGTTGATTTTGAGGTCTCGAGGTCCTTACTCGAGGTAGTGCCAATTGAGTCGTGGGAATCAAGAAAGAAGCGATTCTTATGATTGGCTCGATGATTGCAGCCAGAGGCTGAGTGAATGGTAGATGGATTGGAGTGTCACTATCTGCGGCGGGGGACTATATTCTTCCAGCTTTCCAAGATTCGGAGGAGAGAGAGAGAGAGAGAGAGAGAGAGAGAGAGAACAGACATGTGATTTTCATAGTTGGGATGTAGACCTAACATAGGGATAGATGGTTGTATGAAAAGTATGAAATCTATCTAGTATATACCTGAAGTATTAGTCTCTTCCAAACTTTATGTTCAAATAAGAGGAGCAGTTCATCTTCAGGTGTCCAGTTTCTCCACAAAAGAAACAAAATCCATGTATGTGGGCATTCTTGGATTTCTTAGGCTTAAAGGTGTTCAGTCCATAAACATGGGCTTCTTAGATCACAAAAAATGAATCTTTTCAACATTGCATCATTCCATTGTTTGAACTAGTTTAAAACAAATATCATTGTATTTATTGGAATATTGTTTAACCTGTTATATCATATATATATATATATATATATATATATATATATATATATATATATATATATATATATATATATATATATATATATATATTATCCAAGATGTAACATCCCAAAATTCAAGGTCAAAAATTTCATTTTTAAATCATAACTAAACCATAGTATTAAATCATTTCAAACATACTAAAAGAGTTATATAACAAATCAGAGTATCTTTTCAAAACACTTGTTCATTTCATCAGAGTAAAACATCCCAGGCTGTCTAATCAATGGTGTGCACCATGCGACCACCCCGAGCTCTTCCCCCCACTACCGGAAGTACCTGAAACCAAAACTGAAAACCGTAAGCACGAAGCTTAGTGAGTTCCCCAACCTACCACATACCCTGCATTATCACATACTGCAACTACTGGGCCGCGCCCGCTACTTTGGGCCTCGCCCGCTTCAACGGCCCCGCCTGGCTTCGAGCCCCGCTCGGATACAAATCTGTTTCTCTTAGGCCCCGCCTGTCCCTGGGCCCCGCCCGCTAACATATACTAACACATAAACATACCACAACACATAACTAAATATAAACTGCTGAATCCTGTTCTAAGGCTTCGCCTATCTTGGGCCTCGCCCTTGTCCTGCTACTGATGAATCATGGAACCCCGTCCACGCTCCTTCTGATAGTGAGATACGGGCCCAGCCCACACTCACTCATTTCCTAACTTGGGCCTCGCCCCTGCTCTGCTGCTAATGAGATATGGAACACCGTCCACGCTCTGCTATTGGTGAGATACGGGACCTCGCCCACACTCACCTCCCTACCAGGCACATACAAGTATCACACAGACAACAAGACTTCATGGAAGTCAGGAATAACTATTCCTAGTATGATGTTAGAAGCATCTTGAGCATCACAGTGATGTCTTTACTAGGTATCATGTTCAGGTCTATTGCTCAAAGCAGATTGTTTAGGACTGAGACCTTTAAGTGTATACAATTTCACATCTCTCACGAGATTGTCTCTCATGAAATTAATACATTCATTGAAGTTGGATCTATCGAATGTTATTAAGTCATTTAAAGAAAATGACAATTCATGGTTATAAGAGTGGATTATTTATATCTACAAAATTTTAATAAAATTCATTTAGTATTTTCAATATTTAATCTTTAATAATTAATACCCTTGTAGTTTTCAAAAACGTTAATTATCAAAGTCTAGGATCCAAGTTGCAAAACAAATAAATGGTTAAATGACTTTTATCTCATTCATTTGAATCCAACCCGGTAGATATCCATTATCAATTATATTTTACTATATAATTCCTAGATTTATGGGATTACTAATAACAAATTTAATTAGACATGTTTGATCTCATCTATGCCTCAGAACTATTGGCTTAGATGACCTTTATCACAAAAGATTTATCATCAAATCATCCAATTTGAAAAACTTATGTCATCGGTCTATAACTTGTTTGGAGATATCACAAAAACACCCTGACCATTAAAATATAACATTAAACGGTTAGATGACATTTATCCTACTAGTACATACAAGAGATGTGCGAGGTGCGAGTGTTCTTCAAAAAATAAAGAATTTTTAAAGTATAATAATGTTCACTAATATAATTTTAGATGTGAAACTCCCCTAACAATTTCTAAAATAATCTCCCGAAATGGACCAAGAAATGATGTATAAAAACTTATCGTTGCATTAATGTCAATATGAAATGTACAATGTTGACTATGATGTAAAATTCTAAAGTACCTTTACATTACATTTCATCAAGAAGTCATCAACTTCAGAACGATTATAAATAATTCATAACATTTCAGAAAAAATGGTCATTTTCCAATTCCGAAATAAGGATGTATTTTTGTTAATTAATTAATTTATAATGATTAGTGTAATCGATTATCTTTATTTATTTACCAACTTATTTAGTGTGTTGTTTAATCGTCTAAAGCCCATGTAATAAGATTTCAAGAGATGGTAAAATTCTCAAAATGAAGATTTTATACTCTACTGTTAGATAGTCAAATTTTAAATTCAAGATTTATTCTTTACTATTATCTCTGAAAATTATGATTTTGCGTCAATGTTGGACCATTGTGTGTAGAGTTTACCATCTCTTATATAATTTGAAAATATATTTTCTAAATTAAATTTTGTTTGTTTTAGTAAACCATGTCTTAAATCATCTCCAATATTATTTTATTTTTAAAGTTAAAAGTAATGTTAATGTTCAATTCTAATCACATTATATTTTATTATTATTTTTTTATATAAAAAATATTTCAAATATATTATTTTTGATTTTCATAAATACTGTTTCAATTTACTAGTTTTTTTTATAAATTTATCTAAAATCATTTATTATAATAAATTTAATATTTATATTATTAAAATAAGTATAATCAAAAAATTGTATATAAAAATAATTCAAATTAATTATGTGTATGGCATTATTTTTTATTGTATGTCATTGTGTTATGTTATGAACTAAGGTTGTCAAAATCGGGATCCTACCTAGGATCGTTTTTGGGTTTGCAAGATCGGGATCGAAATCATAAGATCCCACAAAATAAAATATAATTTTAATTTATAATATTTAATCATGAAAAATATTTCAAACCTTTAATTTTTCGTTCAAAAGTTATAAAACTTCAAAATATTAGTCATAAGTCACAATAAAAAATGATAAATGGTAGATTGGTAAAGGTTAAAAGACATAAAATGATAAAAAAAAAATTATTTGCAAAAAAAAAAAATCAAGGGAAGGTAGGATCGGATCGGATCTTGATCCTACGATCTTACGATCCTACCTGCAATCCTACCCCAAATACGATCATTTTATGATCCGAATCGTTTTTCATACCTAGGATCGTAGGATCGTAAGATCCTACGATCAGGATCGCGATTTTGACAACCATGTTATGAACTATTAAAAAGTATAATAATTTTCAATATATTTTAAACATTTATCATCTTTTGAATATAACAATATAATCAAATAAATTTAAATATATAAACTCAAATGTAAAAGCAAATTAGATAAACTAAGGTTGTTTGATGGTATTGATTGAGTTAAAGTCTGATTAAGTCAGATTCAAGATCTTATCATCAATTTCCTTAAAATTATAAAAGATATCAAAGAGTATAAGACCGAATCACATGCTCCGAACTATGGTATCAAACAGCCTGGATTTGATAGTCAGACAAAACTCTTACTAGATCTAGTGAAAATGTATATTAATAATATATAAATTTAAACTTGAAAAACAAATATGGCAAATGAAACTTCAACTTTATTCATCTTATAAATAAATAATGTTACTTTAATTTTGGAGTAGTTTTATTGTAAAATATAAAATTGTATTAAAAAACTTTATATTTTTTATACCAAAAATATAAAAAGTTAGGGATTGAAAAAGGGGATTGTTATACGAAATAGCCGGGAGTGTGGTCTATGTTTGTAGCTCACACACAATCACCTTAACACATAGTAGCCGCCGCCCCTCCATTCCACGAATTTAAATAAATCCATTTTCATTCTTTATTTCCCGATCTTAATCTTATTCCAGTGAAGAAGATTCCAAGGTCAATTCAACTTAACTCCCCTATCATTCATGGTTTGTTTCCATTTCTTATTAGATTTGAATCTGCATACGAATCATCAAAATTCCAGTATAAATGATTCGTTAATTTGTCTGTCCAAATTTTAAGTAAAGTGAATTAAATATTCGGGATCTGTGGGCGGCGAGCTGCTTGATTTTCATGATTGTGTTGTCTTCAAGTAATCAGATTTGAATGCAATTATTACAGACATTATAATGTATTTGTTTGTTTAGTGGAAGCAAAATGGAAATTTGTCAACGCCAATGGTTCTAGAAGCTAGCCGACGGCGGTTTCAGTTTGTTTACGTGATTCCTTTTGTTACTAGACGAGAAAATCAACTTTAACAACGCTTCTGTGAAGTTCTACATCAAAAATTTGGTACATTTTGTTGGATTTGTGTAATCGCTTCTTCATTTCGTTATTGATATATACATATACAGGTTGGATGTTAATAGTAATTGTGATTTTTGTATAGATTGGATATGGAGTCGGCTACTAAATCAGTAGATGAAGTTCTGGAAGAGATAATGAGAATTCATAGTTCTCTTCCTCCACGACCGGGAATTGATGATGTTGAAGGTGGGAAAATACTCATACGAATCTTGGAGGTCGAAGAACAAGCGAAGTTCGATGCCATAGTTAGGCAAAAGAAGCGAAAAGAAGTTACTGAAGAATTATTCACCATTTTGGTTGAGATGCAGAAGAATTTAGTCCGTTTCCAGAGTGAAGAACAAAAGAAGGAAGCGATTAAACTACTGGATCTCGAAAATTACCACCAACTGTTCGACGAAATGATTCAAAGAGCTTCCAGTTGTTGTGACAATAGCACCCAATCAGTCGCATCAACTTCGAGCAATTCTTTCTCTTCCTTCTCCACTTCAAATTTTAGCAACGCTTCACCACACACGGTGACTCTGCCTACAAAACCGATTTCAATCAAAACTTCTGAGTTGTTGACAAGAGATGATAGCTACGTGACAAAATCCAAGCCAATCTTCAATGGAGATGTGATAAGAACAGGGCTTCAATCAAACGACGTGTTCAGGCCCCAGATTGTGGATTCCACTCTAAAACCTGCAACTACTTCCGGTGAGTTTTTCTCTTTGAAGATCTTTCTGGTATGTAATCATTGAAGTTTGACTGAAATCATGGTTTCATTCTATAGGCCAAAATGGAGCAAAATTGAATCTCATGAAGCTTGCTAGTCTAATCGAAGTTTCTTCAAAGAAAGGAACCAAAGATCTCAATCTCTGCAACAAATTAACAGATCAAATTGAATGGCTTCCCGATTCAATAGGGAAGATCTCCACTTTAATCACACTCGATCTATCAGAAAATCGTCTTGTTTCTCTACCATCTTCCATATCATCCCTTTCATCATTAACAAAACTAGATTTACATTCCAACAAACTCATCCAACTCCCAGAATCTTTAGGAGATCTTCTTAGTTTAATCCATCTTGATCTTCGAGCAAACCAGTTAACATCTCTTCCTCTTACATTAACCAAATTGATCCATCTCCAAGAACTTGATTTAAGCTCAAACAACCTATCAATTCTCCCTGAATCAATCGGTTCTCTTATCAATCTCCAAAAACTAAACATTGAAACCAATGAAATTGAAGAAATCCCACATGTCATTGGTCAATGTGTATCTCTGAAAGAGCTTCTTGCAGACTACAACAAGCTTAAAGCTTTACCAGAAGCTGTAGGAAAACTCGAGTCATTAGAAATCCTTTCTGTTCGATACAATAACATTGGAAGATTACCAACTACAATTTCATCACTGATAAGTTTAAAAGAGCTTAATGTAAGTTTCAATGAACTCGAATCAGTTCCTGAAAGCTTATGCTTTGCTACTACCCTTGTGAAAATCAACATCAGCAACAACTTTGCTGACTTAAGATCTTTACCAAGGTCAATTGGTAATCTTGAGAATTTGGAAGAGTTGGATATGAACAACAATCAAATCAGAATCTTTCCAGATTCTTTTAGGATGTTATCGAAGTTAAGAATCTTGAAAACTGAAGGGAATCCTTTAGAAGTTCCACCAAAAGATGTTCTTGATAAAGGCGCTCAGGTAAATGAATATTATTTTGTGTAATCAAAAGGGGTAATTTGGTAATTTATATATACTTGTTGGTGTTCAGGCTGTTATCTTGTACTTGAATGAACTCCATGAGAAGGTGGAGGAGAAGATTCAACCAATCAAAAAGAAGAAATCTTGGACTCAATTTTTTTTTTCAATGTCGAATAAACGCAAAAGGATCACTTTGGCTAGATGAACACCGAATTTCCCACCTTGGAAAAGTTTTCATGTAAGTGACTGTTTCCTTTTTTTTTGGAATATAAGGGTAAAATGGTCATTTTGTATATCATTACAGTTAAAAAGAGATTACTACTAGATAAAAAGAAGAAATTTTGGATATAAATTTTTGATGAAAAAGATTGTTATATTTATATAATATCGAAGGGATTCTAAATTCTCACATGTTAGTTGCTTTTATCTAAATATAGGAGATGCTGAGCTGTCATGGGCTGGAACAAACGTAATAAGTTCTTGATGGGTCTAATCTTCAAGTATGTATCTTTTCATTCCTTTTATACAGATATACTTTAATTTTAATTTAATACTCTATTATATCTTGTTATTTATTGTGAAAATTTACGTCATCAATGAGTCACTGTATAAAATTTTAACGTATAAATCTGTAAAAAAAAAATGTATTTATTTAGTTTCTTTTGCTTGTTTGTTATTGTTGATGTGTACTTGTTACTTTTGGTTTCCATTTGCATAAATGAAATTATAAGTTGCAATAAATGTTAAAAAAAATGTTTTGAAATAAAATCTTTTAGGGGACATGGAAATTTTGTTACTATTAACTTTTGTTGGGGCCACGTGTCTATCCCATCATTAGAAAGAAGTGTATTGGGAAGAAGGTATAATAACCGTTGTAAGTCAATAAATTGTTCGGTTGTTGTGAACGTCAGAACATTGTTGTGTTAACAATTACATTGTAAAAACTCATCAAGATAAATAAAAAGCTTAATACTTGGGAAGAAACATTGTAGTAACAATTACATTGTAAAAAATCATCAATAAATCTCAATAACAACAAAGCGTCGATGTAATCAAAATGCAATGCAAGCAAAGAAGTTTTGTCTCGAATTCTTTGTAGAATCCTTTCGTGAATGCATCACTTATTACAAAATTATAAATTGAAACATAGTAATGTCGAGTAAAATAATACCAACTTGTAGTTGCATCACGTTATATCTTAAATGTTAGACTAGATAGTCCAAGATAATTTTATAAAGGTTTTTGTTTATGTAAAAGGGAAAACACATGCTAATAAAAAATGACCAAGTTATACGTCTAAAAATGAGTTTTTTTTTACTTGTTTAGGGGACATAGGATATTTGTTACTCTTAATTTTTGTTGGGGTCATGTGTTGATCACGATGGGGTTGGCCCTTGTCTATTCCATCACAAGAAGTGTATAACCGTTGCAAGTCATTAAATTGTTCGGTTGCTGTGATAATTGGAACAACATTGCGTTTGTCGTATATTGGTGTGTATATTATTATTAAATATTAAAAATGTACTTAAATTATTATTTCATCTATAATTATTTCATATTTGAAATAATTATTAGAAAAGTGGTTAATAATGATTTTCCAGTTTACAATTTTCACCATATTTGAACCTTTATGCAGTACTCCAAGATAACTGAAAGGGAATTTATCCCCCTTATAATTCATAGAAGCCGTCATCTCCATGACTTCCTTATAAGAAACACCAAATCCAAATCGATGACTCTTTAGAAGATTAATTTTTAATCCCAAATGATATAAAAGTATGCAAAATTCAGAAGATATTAAACCAACCAGCAACTAACTTGTATAACAACCACAAACCGACTTAATTATTAATCCACGTAAATATAGTAGTAATACGCCCCGATGACCCGAAAAAATTGCTTTAAAGAGCTATTTTGGATATAATTGGAAACATTACGAGGCAGGAATTTAGTAGTAGTGTTACGAAGTTGAAATCGGTGATTGATTGGCATCATCTTAGTGGTACGATCAAGAACTTTACCATGTATAAAGTGACAATCAAGTTCGATATGCTTTGTTTGTTCATGAAATTTTGGATTCAAAGTTGGTTGAATGACATAAGTATTATATATGAGAGTGAGATCATGATGAGTGTGTAAATGTTGTAACCAAACCACTGGACTGGAGTGGTTACAATGACAATTGCATGATATTCAACTTATGAACGAGATACAATTGATTGTCTATTTGACTTCTGAGAAATTAATGATTACCTAAGAAAAAAACTTAAAAACCCACTCAGGGACGTATATTAGGGCAACCAGCCCGATTAGAATCACTAAATGATTTAAGTTGAATGATTTGAGCGACGTGTATTAGGGCAACCAGCCCAATCAGAATCACTAAATGATTTAAGCCTTAAAGATTGTATGGTGGTCCAATGGATTATAATAAGCCTTGTTTTTGGATTAAATTTTAAAACCATAACAAATAATTGATATCATTCATGTAATGAATACAAGGATTTGTAAAAAGGGTAAACCACACCTTCTAGTAATCATAGAGAACTAGCAATATGTGGGTGTGCAAGGTTCGGACTGTGAACATCCTTTATGGAATGCAACACATCAACCGCTAGGCTCCCATCATAAAGGGAGAAAAAGAAGATTTGTAACATATTGGCTAAGGCGACGAACACCATAAGTTATATTAGGGCTCTTAAAGGGGAGATACATTAATCGTCCTATCAATCAACTAAACTGAGGTTTATCATCCAAAAGTTCACCTTCAAATATCGGTGATATGTATTTAGGATCCACATGATACTGAACGAGTTTAGCAACTAACATCCCGATATCTTCAAGAACCTGTAATGAATGTATATTGATGGTGATAAATGAAGAACCATCCTTTGAGTGAGCCTTTTCAAGAACTAAAAATGATTTAATGTACCTAAATCTTTACACTTGATTTCATTATTCAAATGTGACTTAACATCGTTAATCTCCTTTAAAGAAGATAAGGACTATGTCATCCACATACATAAGAAAAGTGACATAAGGTCCTTGTCCTTTGTGAAATGAAAAATAATTTGCCTTTGATTGAGTAAAACCTGTTGAAATTAAGAAAGATGGACACTTTGCGTAATATTGCCTTAATGTTTAACATAATCCAGATAGAGATTTTTGTATTGTGCATACTATTGGGACATTTGAAGAACCATTCCCTTGAAAATCATATCACCTTTGGTAATTTCATATACACTACTTCATCAAGGTTTCCCTTCAGAAATGTGTTATTGACATCTGATAGTAATAAAAGCCAAGAAATTGGTGATACTAGTGGTAACAAAAATTTGAGAGTAAAAAGTTTGGTAATTGGTGAATTGGAAAATTAACACCTTCTTTTTAATTGAAACATTTGGCAACTAACATTATAACTTTGTAACATTCAATTGATTATCAACCTTTTGTTTGATCTCGAGATCATTTCAAACAACCAGAAGTAGAACAATCTACCATTTTATTTAATTCCAAGACCCATAATTCCTCATTCATAGCTTCCTACCATTTTACAACTAGAATGATTCATTATAATTGTTGGGTTGTCAACTTTCTCTTTACATAATCTTTATAGTTAAAGGATCCCCACACATGATTGTATAATTTATTACAACAATCTCTATGAAGGATCTATGTACACATGGTTCTTCCTGTTTGAAATCATGATACTCATTTGCTGCTAATCAAAATTCATTTTTGGTTTTTTATTGACATGATAGCTAAAGATTTTGTGATGTCTTTAATCATGTCATCGACAATTGGGAATCCATATTGCTTCATTGATCTCACCATTGTGATTGAATCCTTTGAATCTTGTGTGTATACCCTTATTTCATGAGATTTACACACACTGTTGTTTCTGAGATTGATGATGTTTGGTGTTGCCTTGTGAATGTGTTGTTGAATATAAAAAAGCCCCACTGAGGGTTTATCTGCCAAAGATTTTATAGTATCTCCTAACCTTTCTGATAACTCTTCAAACCTATATACTCCGGGAATATTCATATTAGGGAAACAAGAAGAAATAGTATGATAAGTTACAAATGCCTTCAGAGACTTTTATAGCATAGTTGAAACATGAAATAGAAAAAAGGTGTGCAAATGAAAAAAAAAGTTTTATCTTCAAAAAGCTATTCAGATTTCAGATGGCTCCTTTGTTTAGATGTTATTCATATGTTTCTTTGTGTTTTGAATTTTATTTGATAGTTATTTCATGATTTGCATGTGAAGAACATGAGAATTTTAGAAAGTTGAAATGATAAACGTGTTATTCCCTATTTTTTGTGTGAAATTAACAAGATAGAATTTTAGATGGTAAATTCAAATTGTTTTCAATGAATGAGATTAGGAATTACATAATCAACTACTCAAAATCATTGACGAACATCTTACTCTAATATATATATATTATATATATATATATATATATATATATATATATATATATATATATATATATATATATATATATATATATATATATATATATATATCAAGGTTGCAGAAATCGGGATTAATCGTGGATTAATCGCTTGGCGTTCTACAACCGATTAGGATTAGGGGTCCTTGGCGTTAATTGGTCAATTTCGGTCAACGACGGGCTTGACGGTCTTGGCGCTCTTGACGGTCAACGAAAGTCAAAATAAGTCAAAGGTCAAAGTTCGGTCAAAATTAAAAAAAAAGGCTCCAAAAAAGTTCCAAAAAACTCGTCTAACCCTAAAATCGTCATATTCATCAGCCGTTTTTGTGCTCTCTCTCAAAAATTGAAGCGACGCAAGCCTACCCCGACGATACAACTGATGCCAACGCCCACCGTACTCCGACAAACCTCCAATGGCCACCGGTGAACCTCCAGGGACAGCGGCGTTCGTATTTCAGGTTAGCAATTTCTCTTAACCCAAGTTCGTTTTTCTCCCCTAAAAAAGTCGAGTTCTTGTTTGTTCATTGAAAGTCCACTTCCGATAATGTTATACAATTGATTTGTTCTTTCGTTTTAGAATCTTGTTTAGAATTGATTTCATTTGTTAATTCTTGAAAGTTGAAACAATATTCGAATTTGTAAACAGTGGCCGGCCATGTGGGTTTATGTAGCACATGTAAAAGCCAATATTCATGGCTTCCTTTTTTCTGTTAAACACGAGACACAAGTGTATGCCATAAATTTCCTTTTTTTAATTATTTTCTTAGTAATTTATTATAAATATATTAGAAACAAGGTTTGTGTTGTGTTGGAATATAATTTGAATTTGTCATTTGGAAAGATAACAAAGGACTAATATGTTAACTGTTGATGTGCTAAATATAGTTTCCATAGTTTCCACAAACTTACAAAGAAAGAAAATATATTCTCAAAGAAGCCTACATGCTTCTTCAAGATTACAGCTAAACATTAGCTTGACATTTTTGCTGTGATATTTTGATGTCTGCTGAAAATTTATGATTTATGTTGTATATTTCTGATGTATTTTTTTGGTATGTATAACAGTGTTCAATCATGACATCTAAAAATTCAACTTCACCATCGGTGGGATCAACCGCCATCGGTTCTCATTTGAAAAAGATTGTAATGAATATTCTTTCTTTAACTAGTAGCTCATCGGGTTGTGAAAGAAATTGGAGCACGTTTGAAGCAGTTAGTTATAAAGTTGTAATGTTTAAATATCAAGAATGTTTTTAACCTTTTGTTATGTGTAATTTTATAGGTACATACGAAGAAACGAAATAGATTGGAGACAAACAGATTGAACAATCTTGTTTATGTTCAATTCAATGCTAATCTAATGGAAAAAAACAAAAAGAGAAAAGATAGGACTTTGGAAGTGCTTTTAGCAAATGATTCTCACTCGGCTCAAGAATGGATTATAGATGGAGATGACGGTGATGGAGATGAAGTTGACCCCGAATCAGTTATGGAAGCGATTGATGAAGCTCTCGAGACTAATGATAATCAAGTACCCCGTAAAAGTTCAACAACAAGAGAACTTTATGATGAAGATTTCGAATCCGAGAATGAGGAGCAAGTGTTTGAAGAATATGAATATGAGTCAGATGGAGTTAAAATAGTGGAAGAACTTGAAGATTAGAAGAATATTTAAATGTATGAAAATGTGTGTTTTTATTATTATTAAACTTATTTTGGACTTGTAATATGATGGATTATGACTTCAATGTTTAAATACTAGTTATGACTTTTTGTATGGTTATTTGCTTATTTTATGACTTTTTGTATGGTTATTTGCTTATTTTATATTAATTTTTTATTAATAATTAATGGTCCCCGATTAATCTCCGATTAATCTCCGTCGAGACCGATTAATCCCTTAACCCCAGTCGACCGCCAAGCTACCGTCGAGCGATTTCTGCAACCTTGATATATATATATATATATATATATATATATATATATATATATATATATATATATATATATATATATATATACACACACAGGGCCAGCCTCGAGATTTCGGAGGCTCTGTGCAATTTAACAAAATATAGACCTTAAACCTTGAAAGATTAAAATTTTAAGCAAAACAATTTGCAAAATACATAAATTAATTTTATCATACAAAATAATTCTAATATCTGTTGAAACAAACTTTTTCAATAATACCATAAATAACGTTATCCAAAATGTTGCTTTCAACCGTGGTGAACAATTTGTAGATTTCCTTATTGGCTCTAGATTCTGAAACTCAAGTAGTAAAGTATAACACCTATGTACTCGACATTATGTCATTATTACTTTCTCCTAAATTAGAAAGTAAAAATCAAATTACAAAGAAGAAATCAGAAATTTAAAGTTATATTACATTCTCAGAAAAGAAATACTTTTATTTGCTTTTGATAATAAAAAAAATATTATATTACATTTTCAGAAAAGAAATACTCTGATTTGCTTCTAATAAAAAGGTTTTGATAAAAAAAATTATGAATAAACCTTCATATTTTTGACACCTCAAGAGGATTGTTTTCTTATTAAATTTTGATTGACTTTGATTTTCGAAACCTCAAAGTTTCGGAATTTGAGAAAGAATGAAAGAAAGAAACCTTATTTACTTTTTATAAAGAAATTATGAGGAATTAACATACCTTATGAATTTTGAATTATGGTTTATTGATTTTTGAAATAAACGTCAATTTTCTTGTGAAGTTCTGATTTTCGGATTTTGAAGTAATAAGGCTTCCCGATTTGTTTGTGATTCATTAATTTTTGAGTATTGATGAAGCAGTGGGTAAAAATAAGAAGTAAGAAGTCAAAGCTTATGAAGAAGGAAGCAAAGAGACCGATGTTGCCATGGAGTCTAAACGACTCACTAGCCATCAGTAATCAACGAGAATGTAGGAATCAAAGCGATGTTTATTTCTCTCGAAAAAAATTATGATTCTCGCTCATCATCTTGCGGCGATTCTGATTATTCTCACCTGACGGCTGATATATTCCTAACCTAATATGATTTGGGCCAAAAAAATAATACACAATGCAAAAGAATAAAATAAAGTTGGCCCATAGATTTTAGTGGGTCTTGTTCATAAGCACACCTTACAAGGCCGACCCTTTATATTTATAACTACAACATTTTGTCTAATAGAGAAATTAAATATCCTCCTAATTTCTCTATTTGAGAAATTAAATATCCTCCTAACTTTTGTTTATATTTTTCTTCATACCTATTTAAGTGATGACAAATATATAAATTTAAGATCCCAATCAAATTTAAATTAAATTAAATTTAATAACACTTGTTGTCATCTAAAATAGGTAGTAAAATAGGTAGGAGCAGTGGCGAGTCTAGAACAAAAACTCATATAGTTCACTATTTAAACTAAACCGATAATATGAAAGAGTACAAAAAATTATTATTAGCGGGTCGGGTTGGTAGTGAACAACGATGGCGACCGTGGAGAGTTAAAGTTTTTTTTGCTACTTACGTCTCCGTTCGTACGTAATGTTGAGGGCCGACGCTTGAACGATGAATCAATATTCAAGATCGTGTTTTTTTTTAATATAATTTTAAGTTGTATTGAGTTATTTCTTAATAGGTAATATTCTAAGTGAACTAGATATTTGTGTTACTAGATATAAAACATGGGCAAAACAAGTCTTGTTTTATCTTAATATTTTTGTCAAAGTGGTTCACTCATAAAATTTAAGGTAGGTCACATTTATTTTTTATATATTATTTGTTATAAAAGAAAAGAATTTAGGTGGGTCAAGTGACCTACATTGGGCCTATATATACTCGCCACTGGGTAGGAGGATAGTAAGAACAAAAAGGACGAGGATATTTAATTTCTCTGTATGTAATTAGCAAGTGATTCGTATTATAATTGTTGTCTTCGTCTTCCTTTGTTGAAGTTCTCATAAATTTCGTGCGAAATTATTCATGGGCTGCAAAATGGATATATGGGTTGTTAAATGGGATGGGCCTGAGTAATGAAGACATTTTTTTTTCATTTTAAATCATATATATATATATATATATATATATATATATATATATAGTTTAGGTTCTATGGAAAACAAAAAACACTAATAAAACCCTAAAAATCATAAAAATGCATTAAAAAATACTTAGAGATCACAAAACTGTTTTTTTTGAATTTTTTTCATAAATAATCGTAGCTTTTTCTTAAAATTCGCTGAAAAAAATAATAATAAATCAATTTTTTTTTTCAAAATTTTTTTCAGTTAATTTGTATAGAAGCTGTGATTTTTTCAAAAAAAAAATTCAAAAAAAGTTTTGTGATCTCTAAGTATTTTTTTTATGCATTTTTAGGGTTTTTTTGTTTTCCAAATAACCCTTCTTTTATATATATATATATATATATATATATATATATATATATATATATATATATATAATATCTTTTAGTATAACATTTTATTTTAACAATATAAATCTGTTTTTTTTTTTTGTTTGTGAAAGTAGTCTTTCAAGATTACTAACAAAAGAAAAAAGATTTTTTTGCATGCGAACAGTAATTTCGCAGTGAGACTTCAGTATTTTTTATTATTACTATGAAAATGGTCTTGAAAAATTCCTATCAAAAAATATTTTATTTATTTATTTTTTGCATTTTCACAAGTCAAACCTAAAAAAAAAACATCAAAAAGTAAATTTATTTCATCAAAATGACGTCATTTTGACAATTTTACAGTCCAAATTGTTATTTCGCAGGTGAAGACTACAAAAATGTTGGCTATTTGTGAAAAATACCTATTTTTTTTAATGTAAATCTTGAAAAAACTTTAGTGAATTAGCTAACCTTGTCTCTTTCTCTTTTATTATTTATGCTAATTAGTTTTTAAAATTAAATAAAAACTATATAATGGAAAAAGTTACTCATTATTCTATAGTAAATCTTTTGTTCACTGCCATTTGGTGGTGAACTTATTTAGTTTATGTCAAGACATCCTTTGTTCCTACATGATGAATCTTGATTGAAAACATGGTAACATGGCCATTTGCCAACAAAAAGAAAAAAGAAAGAAAAACCCTTATGTAAAGTTGTTTAACTAGTGATAATACAAGTACTCGAGTAACATTATAATGTGTAAATAACTCAAGTAAATCAAACAATGAAAAACCTCAATTTACTCATACCGTAAGTGTTTGAGATCAATTACTTTGAATATTACATTTGAAAAGGCATAACTTTTGATTACCACAAATACAACAAGGGTCCTACTTTACTTAACCAATAGAGGCCTTCCGGTATGGATATGATTACATGCATGAAATCTGACGTGGAAGGGCCAATTCACGCATGAACACCATCCTATTCTTCCGTAGTTGTTTTGTTGATTAGGTTGCTTCATGAGTCTTAACGAACGTTTCTCCCTCCTTCTTCTTCCTCTTCTTCTTCTTTGTATATCTTTTCTCTACGCGTGAAAACACCCCCTTTGGGCTGTAATGGTGTTGGTGGAGGGGAGTTTTGATGAGGTGGCTATGTCTTCAAGTGTATCCATACCGGATAGCCTAGTAAAGTCAATCCCATGCAACAATCTTATTTTGCTCTTTTTTTTCTTAGGGTGTGCTGAATAAACTTTAAAACAATGGTTTTATGTACATGAGGGTCCATATCATGTGAGTCAGGATGTAGGATGTGGTTCATATAAGATCATTCAAAATATCTTTCACGACGGGGCTTCGTTGCTATGGTGACAGGCCACAACGACTGTGCACACCATCTCGTGACGTCATGGTGGTCGCGAGGTTGTGGAATGTGTATACCATCTTGTATATTGATGTTACATATGATGGATTGTCATGCTGTTGTTTGCTAAGGTGGAAGGAAACTAGGTGTTCCCCTAAAGTTTGGTTGCTGTTTTTGGTGCTTTTCCGTAGTCGATTGCTGCCTTTGGGGATTTCAAATTTGATCGGCTTTTAGTGTTTTTTCTTGTTCCTTTGTCGGAGTCTTTTAGTTTTTGTTGTCTAGACTTTTTGTATTTGCTCTAGCTGTCCGCTGACTTTTATTTTAATATAATCTTTTACCGTTCAAATTTTTTTTTTTTACTTTAAACTCAACTTTAAAAAATAATATTTTTCTCTTTTCGATTATTTTCATGTTTTTTTTCTCACTTTGTCTTCAAAATCTTCTATACTTGCCCCTAAAAAATAAAAATAAAAATAAAAATAAAAATAAAAAGCCCTTTGAATATAGAAACACCACTTCGTGAAAGCTGAAAAAATCATTGCACAACATTCCGATACTGAATTTGAGTTGCGGATCTTGGAGAAAGATGGATGCGACTGCAGTTGTTGTGGACAAAGATTCGCTGGCCAAGCGATCTGGTGTACTCGTTATCGGTTCCTCCGGCGTCGGCAAACGGACCCTTCTCTCTCGTAACCACTCTTATCCCTCATGTTTTCTTCTTTCACTGCTATAATTGATTTGTCACTTAATGTACACCATTTCTATGTTAATCTTCCGATCGCAATGAGAAGTCACTTCTACAATTCATATCGCTTATTTGTTTGTTTAATTAGTGTTATTTCAAGCTACATCGGAGATTATTAGGGTTAAATTTAGTTCCTAAAGACTTAGGTTAAGCTTTCAAGTTGATTTATTTGCTCATAGTTTTCACGAATTAAATGAATTATAGTTGTGTAAAGGTTTGTAAAAACCTACCCTACCTCCTTGGAGTTTTAAACTCTCAGCTTTTGATTTCTTCACTTTACATTCCTGATCCAAAACTGCATTTTTGGATAAAAAATGTACATGATTTCTTATGATTAGAATCCTTCTTGTTGATTAATCATTTCTCCCCCTACTTAGTATCCCCTCTTGATACAGAAAACTAGATCTAGTACTTTTCAAGTTCCAAATTGAAATAGATGTTTTAGTTTTTTGCCTCCAGATTCATTCTATTGAGACATTTCTTTATACATATAACGATAGGTGATTTACTCTGTTTTTAAGTGCCATTTCTAACTAAAATATCTACTTGCATGCTGCAGGATTACTATCTGTAGACTTTGAAGATGACTCTGACTCATCTTCAGAGGTTCTTGCTTATGGGTAAGTAGGTAACACAATTCATTCAAGGCATTATGGTGGATTCTGTTATGTTTATATATTTTTTTTCATAAAATTGTTTATGTTTATATTAACTTTCAGGTGGACAATCAACACAAAATATTACACAGCCGATGTCTCAATGTGGATGGCTCATTTATTTAATGAATTTTCAATCACAGGGGTGCCAATGTTTGATCAAATAACTGCCTTAGTGATGGTTTTTGACTTAAATAATGTTAGCCTTCACTCCTTCTCTCAATACATTAATCTTTCAATCATAATCATGATAGAAAAATTGATTCCTTCACACCAATTTCATGCAGCAATCATCATTTTCAGAACTTAAAAAATGGGTTTCATGCAATGATATTGGGAAATTTGACATCTTGCTATGCATTGGGAACAAAGCAGATCTTGTTGTTGGCCATTCTGCTCATATTGAATACAGAAGACATGTACTCAATCAGTCATCAGAATATGGAATTGAAGAAACTGAAGGAAGTAGCTTATTGGAAGATGAATCATCATCATCATCATCATCATTAGAGATTAAGAAATCTTGTATGGAATGGTGTTTGGAACATAACATTGAATACATTGAAGCTTGTGCATCAAATCCTCAGTTTGACAAATGTAAGATTGTATAAATTTTAATTAGGTAAAAAATGTATTTTGTATTTTAGGGTTTTTGATTATTTTTCATTTTATTGCAGGTTTGTCAGTTGATGGTGATTCACAAGGTGTTGAGAGACTTCTTGGGGCTTTATCTGCTCATATGTGGCCTGGAATGATCTTGAAATCCGGTCAAACTATAAGTCAACCTTCATTACCTCAACAAGAAGGTTTGCATTCAAACTTTATTTATAGAAACATCAAAAAATTCAAAAAGTTAACATTTTTTTTCTTCCCATTCTTTGATTCCAGATTCATCAGATGAAGAACCCAACTATGAATTCGAATATGAAATCTTATCAGCTGGATCTATAGAAGAACAATGGGATGATTCAGATGTATCATGGGTTTCTGCAACTAAAGATACCTCAGAATCAATTATAAACAATGAAAGAGAAATCAAGGTAGATATGCAGCCATCAACATCAACATCAACATCTAAATTGCAAGAAGAAATTGATAATGAAAAAGCAAATGAAGGTAATGATAATGATGATGATGGTGGAAAGGTGTTTGAAGTTGAGAATATGGAACAGTTGATGTCTGAGATTGGAAACGTGCGTGACAGTTTGAGGTTGATGCCTGATTTTCAGAGAAGAGAAATGGCTGCAAATTTGGCCATGAAAATGGCTTCAATGTTTGGAGATAGTAGTGGTGATGAAGGAGAAATAGATGAGTGATATGAATATTGTTAATGATATAAAGAAAGATGTGGTTTTTTCATTTATTTTTCATTTGGTTTATCATTTATGTTGTGTTTAGATTCAAGTGCTTTTGTCTCTAGAAAGAATTTTTGGTAAGTTGTGTTGAAGGAAAAAAGTGGTACTTGATGTTGTACACAAATTGTATATCTACTTTTGTTTGTTATTTATTGGGTGTTTGGATGTGTTTGTGTTTTGAAGTGATTATCAGTATGTTTGGCCAAAATAGCTTATATGTGGTAGCTGGAATAAAAGTGTTTATTAGAGACGATATACATGCATAAATTTGTTCTTAATTATTAAATCGCAATCTTTATAGTTTTCCATTAAGAAAAATATATATAACCTGATCAAACATGAATTTCTGGAGAAATTGTTTACATATTGTCTCCAAATTTCACCAAGTAATAGTACACCTTATGTAATTATCAAACTATTGTAACATCTCATTTCATTTCCGTTTAAATACATGAAATTAAAAAGTTGATTACACTTTAGAACTAGAAAACACTAAAATGATCCCCGCAGGACTGATTTCCAAAGCTATTTTGGAAGGGTATTCAACATGTTCTTTGGTTCCTTCATTTCACTACATGCTTCAATATCTTTCCAAAGATTTGAGATAAAAGATAAAAGATAGAAGAGGGAGGCCGACAAAGATCAAGAACGACGTATCGGCAGTAGTGACGACGGCGGCGGCTAGATCTTGAGGCAGCGACGGTGATGACGACTTTAGCGGTTAGAAATAGATGCAACAAAACGGTTATTTGAGAGATGTTTTCTTTAGGAGGAGATAGAGGAGAAAAGATTTGAGAGGGGAAAAAATAGACAGGGAAGACACATCTAACGACTACTAGAGAAGGTCGTCGGAGGTGGAAGGCGGCAGTTGCGGGTTGTGGTTAGCAGTATAGTTTTAACCTAGAGTTTTGATACCATGTAAGAGAATAGATTGTTTGATTAATAGTGAAGGTTAAACCTCATATAAATAGGAATACATAAGTAGTCTAATCTAAAACCTAAAAACCTTGAGTCTAAACCCTAATCACCGACAATTCTATTCATATTCATATACTTGGAACTTGATATTTAAATTTCATTTTGACCTTGTTTACAATTTGTCTTCAAATTTCAGTAACTAATACTACACCTTATATAATTATCACACTCTTGTAATATCTCAAGAATCCCGATATCATTATTATTTAAGTACATAAACTAACGGTATATATATATATATATATATATATATATATATATATATATATATATATATATATATAGGGTTAGGTTCATGTGAGACGACCTAATTTTGTGAGACCGTGAGACGCAATCCTAGCCATTCATTTGGTAGATAAAACAAAAAACATTTTTAAAATGCAAAATAATTAAAAATTTTCGAAATTTTTTTTCAAATATTATTTTCGGAATTTATATTTTCCAAAAAAATACCAAAAAAAATAAATAATAAATAATAAAAAAACTTTTTTTACATATTCTAGTAGAATAATAGAACATTCTACATATCCGAGAAATCTAGTATAATATTCTAACATTCTAAAAATCACATTAGAATATTTACAGTGTAATATTCTATTAGAATATTTCACGTATTTTTCAAAAAAAAAAAAACGGTAATTTTATTTATTTATTTTTTATTTTTTTAATATTTTTTTTAGGTAATTAAAGTTCCGAAAATAATAATTAAAAAAAGAATTTTTGGATTTTTTCTTTTATTTTGCATTTTAAAGTTATTTTTAGATTTGGTCTCACGGTCTCACAAAATTAGCATGGTCTCAAATGAACCTGAATATATATATATATATATATATATATATATATATATATATATATATATATATATATATATATAGTTTTTTTGGATTAAACCTCATTATTTTCTTTCTAAATGAACCCTTACATGTTTCCATTTCTTTGATTTGGCCCTTACATTTTCTAAATTTTTCAGATTAAGCATAATTTTTTTGTTATATGAAAAAACCTAGATCCTTATGTAAAACCGAAAGATTACTAATAAACCTCTTGAAATAACCAAACTGAAAAACTAGAAAAATATAAATGTTTTTGTAGAAAAAATAAGTTAAGATTTAATTCGGAAAAATCAGAATTTTTAATTAACCCTCAGTAACATATAAGAATCTTATTTCCATAATTAGTTATGTAATTCATAATAAAGGCTCACACCTTTGTGAGTTCACTTTTGCCCCATTTTATAGTGTTATGATGTTGTAATTGTAAAATTATAAAAATCTTTCATATTTTCCAATTATTCTTTTATCAATGTAAACCATCATGCATGTTAACATGTTCTTCTTTCATTCTTAGCAACAATATGTAAGTTATGTCATAGATAACACCATACACAAGTATGTTCCTTGATTGGCTCTCTCTCTCTCTCTCAACATTATAGTTATGACAATCACTTATATGGATAAAATTCAAGTATACTGAACATCTTTACATAAAAACTAACGTAAATAAAAAAAATGCCAAAATATAGGTTTTTGTAAAACAAAACAATAAATGATGAGGTTGCATCATGCATGCCACATAGGAAATGTCGACAACCGGTTGTTAACTTGTGCTAAATTAAACAAACCAAAAATGTACAACACTTCTAATGATTTCCTTGAAAAAAAAACAAAGCTTAAGTTTATAACGAAAAAGGTCAAATATTAGGCATTTTGTAATTAATTACAATTTATTTTGAAGGGAGGACCACCCAATCCTATAGGATTCTGGTACTTACTTATTCTGGAATGAACAGAACCCATTACCGAGGTATAACAATTCCCCTCCACACCAATCACGAGTTTTTCTTAAAGCTATTGGGATTTGAAAATGACATCATCTTATTTGTGAAGTGTTTAAATCTCAAGTTATCATTGATGGTGGTTTTTTTTTTTGAAACGGAAAATATTATAAATAAAGTCACACGCTTAGCAAGTTGCTAAGAAAAAATGTGGACAAGGTACATAGATAGATACAATGGAGTTAACAGAAAATAAAAAGTGAGATGCACCAATCAATCCAACTACAACTCATTTTGGAACTCCTGTGTTTAAGCCACGAAAATGATTGAGAGATAATGGCATCTACAATCTTTGTTAAAGTGGTGATCACCTTATTAAACGCCTTATTATTCCTTGCCTTCCAAATGTGCTAAAGCATGCAGTAGAAAATTTAGTTGAGTATCGACCTTTTCTTAGGGCAATTTCCCTAAGAGGCAGCAAAGTCGAGAAATTCTTCAATATTCAGGAATCGCCTTTTTGGTAAACTACACCATTTAAAGATCCAGTCGTGTATCTCATCCACCATTTTGCAACTGACTAATACATGATCAACCGTTTCATGCTCTTCCCCACATAAAATGCAAATGTCAGAATGGGCTGTTAAACCTCTCCTCACAAGTGTGGTTGCCACTGGTATCTTATTTTGCGTTGCACGCCATACAAAGCATCTAACTTTTAGTGGGATATTTTTTGAGCAATCAATTACCAAACCATTATATGGTATTCTCGTGGAGTCAATGCACCTTCTTAATGTGTTAACTGTGTAAATACCATCCGTATTAAGATTGAACTTAAGTCCCAAGGGGGTTGGTGTGATTCTGATGTTGTTTAGAATCGAACAAAGCTTCATGAATTCTGAAAGCACCGCCTCACCACGAAGAGAGGATTTCCATTTCCATTTGAAGTTTGCATCTTCTACTCTTTCAGTAACATGCCGTTTTTTAACAAACTCTAACTCATATAAGAGAGGGAATTTTTTTTGAAAGTGTCTGAGCCACACCAATTATCCAACCAAAACAGAATTTGAGTATTAGACCCCATAATTGGTGAGAATAGAGAATGACAGTCGATGTTTACTTCTTGGAGACCATTAATCGCCTTGGCTATATTGCACCATACACCTCTAATCGATTGCTTTGCCAAATATTTGATTGGTTTTCTGATCAAGTTGTGTATACTCACGATACATTCTTTTCATATACCACTCAAGTCAGTTTTAAGTCTCCAAAACCATTTCGTGAGAAGTGTTAGGTTTTGTGCCATTAGTGACCCCACACCCAATCATCTGTCTTTTTTGTCAGATGTTAATAGAGAATGGCAGTCGATGTTTACTTATTGGAGACCATTAATCGCCTTGGCTATATTGCACCATACACCTCTAATCAATTGCTTTGCCAAATATTTGATTGGTTTTCTGATCAGGTTGTGTATACTCACGATACATTCTTTCCATATACCACTCAAGTCAGTTTTAAGTCTCCAAAACCATTTTTTCAGAAGTGCTAGGTTTTGTGCCATTAGTGACCCCACGCCTCTAATCGATTGCCTTGACGGTGGTTTATTCTATTTGTTTTTAGATAAAAGAAAAGTTTGTTAATTTAGGGTTAAAACTTAAAAAGGAGGTTAATTAGACCTGGCAATGGGGCGAGTTTGGAGTGAATCGACCTTGATCCAAACCCGTTTAACACATTTTAAAATATGATCCAAACCTGCTCCGTAACTCGCATGGTTTTGAATAATCAAACTCATACCCTTATCCACCGAATCAACAGATATTCAAACCCGCCCCGTAACCTGTTGGTTTTTTGAATAATCAAACGCAAATGTTTATTTTAAAAATGCATTACATACCCGATGACTTTTAATTGGAATTAAAATCACTATTGTAGTGACTTTTGATTGATTTTTGAATATGGAATGTGTTGATAGAGAATTTTAATTGAAAACTTTCTTGCGGTTGATAAATGGCTTTATTGATTTATAAATAAAATTAGTGATTGTTTGATGAAATATTAATGAAATGATACCATGATTCTTAGTAAAAGACTGGAAGTCTAGAAGTCGACTCCTTGAGTCCTATGTAAAAATAGTTTGGTATTTGGCTTTTGCCCTTTAGACTTTCGATTAGAATTAAAATTACTCTTTAGATATGATAAAATATAAATGTATAATTCTAAAATTTATACGGGGCGGGTTATAATGGAGCGGATCGGTGATGATCCCTACCCGACCCTTTTAATAAAAGGGTTAGCGGGTATGGATCGTTAACGGGTAAACGAATCAAAAACTATGCTCCAAACTCATATAATTCATAAGGGGTTTGGATCGGATCAGGATCAAAACCCGCTCTATTGCCAGACCTAGATTA